AATTGAAGCAGGTAGTATGATGATGCATCACTTACACTTAAACTACAACATTAATACAGAGAAAGTTACATAAATAATGGTAATTGAACTGAGTGGAGTGCAATTTGGTCTGAAATCATACGCGTGATTTCAAAATCGAACGAGCGTGCAGCGCGAGTTCGATTTGAAATCACAAGTATGATTTCAGACCAAAATTGCTCGACACGAAGTTCAATTACCAATTTATTACATCCATTTTGAAATCGCGGAATTTAGTCAGTACTAATATTTTATTGATCATCTCATTTTGTATTCGAAACAGAAATGATGCGATATATAGAACAAAAATGGTAGGATTTAGAACATGAATGACGTGATTTGGAACAGATGCAATTTAGAGCAAAAAATGGTGCGATTTAGGAATAAATCACACTGCTGAGAGCCAATCAGATTGCACGGATAGCCAGTGATTTCAAAGTGGATGTAATAATAATAAATATGGTATTACAGATTGGATACAATAATTAGAAGTCAAGCTTATAAAAATTGGGAGCTGAACACTTCAGCAGGGGATAATTAAAAAGCTAAGAACATTGCGTTTCAGGAGCTTAATTTACGCAAACCAGCACGAGATGAGAGAAAAAAAATTTGGTGATCCCTGTTTTACTATGGCCTATTTTATAAATAAACTTTTTTATAGTCCCTACTAGTAGCAGAAAAGGTAGTACATTGTTTTTTGTTTTTCAAATACCCTCTCAATGCAGTTTATCTAGAGAATGAATGGTTTACTCATGCACGAATTCACCTGTCAAAATTTCGAGCAATGTGCGAAGAGATTTACATCACGATGTCAAAATTTCGAGCAATGTGCGAAGAGATTTACATCACGATGTCACGCTGTACTAAAGTTGATTAAATTCACTGACTTTTCGCCTCCACGAAAATATATAACGAGTATTAACTAAATCCCGTGCAACGAGCATCCACCCATAGAGATTACAATTTTGAGATTGACCCTAACGGATGGCAAAAAGTAAGAAGTCTGAGAAAACTGTTTCCTTCACGTGTTTCTTTGTTTTCCTCAAACCTCAGTCGATATGCTGTAAAAATAAAGAACAGTACAGCAGGATGGCTACCCTGCAATCAGTGGTTTCTCCAGGCTGGACGCATTAGAAGGGCAGAATGTTATTTTTCATTACATGACTTACTTCGGTCGATGACCGAGTTGATTAACAAGACAAGTCAGACAAAAACAATGTAAAAATTTAGACCACTAAATGATTTAGACTTATTAAAGCAACTTTGCTCCAGCAAAGTCTTAGTGTGTTCAGTGCTATTGAACACCTTATCTTCATTGTGCATTAAAGTATTTATTAACTATTTAGTCATACCAAAAGAGCGTTTTTTTGCATTTTGCCAGTGTAACAAACAAGTGTTTTAGTTAACATTGACGTTTTGTTAAACCAAACAAAAATGGATGTTTAAGGACGTTTGCAGATAAACTACTGCCCACAGCCCTTTTGAATGGTTTGTTCATTTATCTTTGCCTGAATGCAGCGAAGCGTAATGAAACAAAAAATAAATAAATGGTTTCTTGAATTCCCAAGCGCAGGTGCATTCGTCGGCAGTGTGTTTTAAGTGCCGGCATGAGATTATGAGAAGAAAGTGTGATATGTAAAGTAGCAAGTATATATTCGCTGAACAGTAAACAAGTTTCATTGTGGATTTTTACAAGCGGACAGTTAAATTTTGTTCTTTTGTATATTTCGATTGAAATCCTGTAATCCATTTCCTCGTAACGATTTTAGTTGTGTTTTCCTGATGATTGACAGTTATTATAAGTGGTTTTGTTTTTTCATTTACTTTGGCCGGATCAAACGTATACAGTTTGCTTGATTTTTTGGTGTCTAAACAGTGGAAACAGTTGTTTTTGTTTTGTGATTAGTTGGTTAGTTCAATAAATGAGCTAAGAATTGTCTGCTTATCCCGCACCGCATTTCTGGTTGTCAGTTTTTTGGGTGCGGGGAATTCAAGAATTCCTTTTTTTCAGGTTCACGCAAGTGAAAATTCAGATCTGAAAGAACACTGTAGCGTGTACGCATTAAGTAGCCAAACACAAACAGAATTCAAACAGCAGTGTAATCATCGCCATGATGTGAGGAATGTAAAGCCGTAGAATCAACACTGGCAGGTATTGAGCGACTGATGTAAGATGCATTTCACCCCAGTGAGGATGACTGTGATGAAGCGCTCTATCCAATTCGGACAGCACAACATGCCATTCATACCTGGAATTGCCACCAGTTAAGGGCTGTTCGACAGGACCAAGGCAGGTCGGATGAGTACACTGTACTAATTGTAAATGACTGGGCCATGAAATTCCTTTGTCAGATGCATTGTGAATCGTAAACCAGATTGGATGCAACGAGGAAAATTTCATGGCACATTTCTGTTGTCTATTGCAGGTTCCTTTGTGAGCTACAATCGCAAGCATTAATTCACCACATACAGTGCTGCAAACAAGACGGCTCTGCAGTCATCTTCATAATACAGCATGTACTTTATTCACTATCCTCTGAGCACTTTAACATCACCAAGGCAGTCCTTCACTAAGACAACGCTGACTGCTACCAATCCTATCCAACACTTTTCGCCTTTCCTTCCATAGAGGCTTCAACTGGAAAAGAGTGGCAGGTGTAGATTTCAAGGAGAGAAGGGAGCAGCTGACAGAATGACTGCAGCAGCAAAGTCTCACATTAGGATATTCATAAATGAGGGCACTGATGTGACAAATGCAACGCAAATGAAAGACGCTGTGCTTTCGCATGAGGGAGTCAAGAGTGTTCAGACGGTTTGGAATCAGCATATGTTGTTAGGGTGGCTGGTCACGTGTGAAAGTCCTCGGTTGTCTTTTCGGTACTACTTAAGTAATGGCTACAATCAACCAGGTGAAGAAGCTTCTAAAGAGGGAGCTTTCACCCTTCCATTCCAAAATGGAAAATATGATCACAACGTTTAATAAACTAAAAGTTTGAGTTAATTTCTCAGACAAGTATGGCGATCTACAGACTCAAATCAAGCAATCGAATAAAGAGTTCAACAGCAGAAAATAGAATTACGCAAAGTAAACTTCTTCTGCCTAAACTCACATCGTTCAAAACTTGTCAATACTACTTTTTTAAATGATAAATTGTGGTGTATGACGTCATACCACGTGCTCTTGCATCACACTCTTAGAGCGGTTTTCACATTCTTTTGTGTATTTCGTTGGGAGAATAATAGGTCTGTTGAATTTCTGAAGCTCAATCTTACGCCTTACAGAACGACGCAATACGTAACAGTGGTGACGAAGTACACCCAGCAAACGAACAGTCAACATCGACCAACGAGGAATTACCAGAATTATGGACGAACACGGCTTTTAAACCTCCAACATCAGCAAGTGATATGGCAGGCAGATCACCCTTTGATACTTTTAATTCTGGGCCGGGTTGTTTGAAGCTGGGTTAAGATAACCCAAGGTTAATCCAAAACTTGAACTCGGATATGAGAGCTTAAAAGCAAATCCAGTTTAATTCTCTTTGCCTAAATTATGATGACTGGATACTCTAAAAAGAATAGAGAAATATTCAAGAAAGTGCTTTTGATCAAAAGAAAAAGAAACCCAGTTTAAAACTTTACCCCAAGTTAGCGTTGATCTCCATTCTAACAACTAGGCCCTGAGTCTTAAGATATCGAGAGTTACCTTGAGCTGTTACAAGAATATTTCATTGCTAACGATATTAAGAACGATTCAGACAATGCCACTAAGTGAAGAGCGATACTTCTTACCTCTATTGGCAGCAGTGCTTAGGAGTATCGAAAGATTTATCCTTCCCAGAAGAGCCAGACAGGAATACCTACGACCAGCTGGCAACTCTACTGCAGGGTCATTATAAGCCCACTTGTTTAAAAGTGGCAGTAAGATACAGGTTCCACTCTGCAAGCCTGAAACCAGGGTAAAGTATCGTTGACTTTACTCCTTGCTAGGACGTGAATTCACAAACAAACATTTAAATGATAGTCGACACGATTGATTCACTTGTGGGCTTCATTGGGAGCAGATTTAATGGAAATTGTTATCCGCTGACTTCACCTTCAAGAAAGCCATGGACGCTGCTATCACCCAAGGAATGGCGCAGAAAGATGTACGAGACGTTAGGGAGACATCCCAAGGTGAAAAGTCGTCTTTGAATGTGAACAAGGTTAAGCATGACAACGGGTCATCACACAGTCGCTTGTCAGGCCGACACACGGCAGTAGTGGGAAACAACCTCAGTAGACTGGAGATCAAAAGAAGCGATGTTTTCGCTGTGGTTTAACCAACCATACTCCAGACAACTGCAAATACAAAGATTCAGAGTGTTTCAAGCGTCATTTAAGAGGTCATTTTCAGTCTGAGTGTCATAATGTGAAACCGCCACTGAAATGGTTGATGGAAAAACAGCATATAAGTCACACGGATCAGGATTCCAGAGGATGAGTTTCTCAGGTCCATCTTTGATGTGGAACAGAAGAGAAAACCTGAGTCTTACAAATCAGGACTTTCAGTGCCTTCAGTAAGAATTCACGAGCAGATCGAAGATGTTCGATTACAGATGGAAGTAGGCAAGGGAGCGGCAGCTTCAATTCTTAATTAGATAGATTATGAGCGGTATTTAAAGTACCTTGCACTAAAAATCTGATTCTTCTTCAGCCTGTGCAAATAGATAAAATTAAGTAAACAGAACAACCCACTCTCCTTTACAGTACATGATTACCAGATGTGTGTTGAGATTTTGTGGAATAGCATATTTATTCTGAAAACATCCTTTTTTAGGTCCCTCGGTGTCATTTTCAGCAATGAAGACATGCTTTCTATTCTACAACAGTTCCATACGTACCTTCCTCCTTCAGCTGACAAAGGATACGATTCACACCTATTTTCAGGGGATCAACTCACTGTTGAGAGGGCAGTCACCGTTATCTCCTCAGTTGCTAACGGTTACAAACCAAAGGATCGTTTAGAAGGAATTACCTTGCAACTGGGTAATTAGCACGCTGGAGTCAAAATTCTATCAGTAAGTTAAAAAAAATTATTATCATTATTATTATTATTAATATTATTGTTTGCCTGTATTTGTACATGGAAGCTATGCCAAAGTGATCTTAAATGGTATTGCTGCTTGGAGAGCCCAGGGTGGGAGGGCAGGGCATGTGCAAACCCTTATATTAAATGCTGTATGCTGCTGAACAGAATATGTGACTCTCCACAGGAATTTGATGCTAAAGGTGAAAGGACGCTCACGACACGCTTGCACGACACTCTTAGCGTGCCGTAGATCACGGATATGCGCATATTAAATTGAAAAAACAAAGACGGACACACTTGCCTTTGATTTGGTAAATTTAACACGCTAGACCTTTTGTTTTTTTGTAGCGTGCCATATGTCACGGTAAGTGTGCGAATTATAGCACGCTTAGCGTGCAATTTGGGTAAAACACGCTGAACACGCTTGATTACTAAAGCTACTAAGATGATAAAAATGGCTTGGGTTTTCAGCGGATTTAATCAGCATCGATAACTGGTCGCAGTGAATCAAATATACCAATTGAGACTGTTTTGGAATTTGATAGTAACCGTAGCCATTTGAAAATCACCACTTAATGGTCGTCTGTAGCCTGGAATTAACGCGAGATCAGTGTAAACCAATTCTGCGGCTGTCGCCTGTTGACCGGAATCGCAAAGAGACCTGCTATCGCATGTGAGGCACGGAAGTTATGTCGCCTAAAAATTATAGTTATGCCGCCGAAATCTTTATTAGCAGTAATGCACAGAGAAATGAAGGTGAATAAATTAGTTTAATATTATTTCTTTAAGCCATGCTGAGACGAACGAAGGTAATTAAATCGGAGAAACAAAAACTGCCTAGAATCTTCTATAGGTTGAGGAAGTCTAAACATTTCTAGATGACCGTTCCATGCACGTACAATCAGTTTTCGAAGCTTATCTAATAAATTCTTTACGATTTTCTGAAGTTTAATTCTTTCCATTTCACTGCCCAGGTTAAGCTATTTTTCGTAGAGAAAGGGATCCTAAAATTTTCGGAACCGAAAATACGATAAAATTCTCACTTTCCTAAAACTTTCAGTTGGAAGCTAAATTTTTCGGGAAAATAATGCTGAAGCCCTTGTAATTTCGAAAAGACTGAAGTTGTCTTGGCTTGCCTGGGCCTATTATTTTCAGAGAGAGAATTGGCCAACGGCAACACGGCAGGAACGTTTGGCTTCGAAAAGCTATAATGAAGAAAAGATGCGATTTCTGTCATCAAACTTGCGCCATAGGTTTGATTTGATTTTGTAGACTATTTCTTCACTGTTTCTGAGAAAATTGCAAATGTGTTTTAAATTAAGGAAGAACTTTGATGTTGCAATGTTAATTAAGTTCTACCCATAAATCCAGTAAGTCCCTCCGTTCACTGTTTATACTTTTCAAGCGACAAACTTTTTCTTTCTCGATAGTTACCAAAAAAGGGTGCCGTTCATAATCATGTACGGTTCCTTTTTGTACAGGAAATTCATTTAGCTTATAGATAACACGCCTTGCGTTCTTTCGCGCACACTTAAGCGTGTTGTGCTTTTTCGCACGGAGATTTTGTTTGAAAACTTTAACACGCCGTTTTGTTCGACTTGCTCACGCTTAATTGTCTCAAGCGTGTCCTCTGAAACAAAAGAAATTGCTAATGAGGCAAGATTGCAAGCGTGCTAAAGCGTGTTAAAATAAATTCTTTTGTTTTAAAGTGAAAGCGTGTCTTGCGCGTGCTTTCACCTTTAGCATTAAAATCCTGTGGAGGGTCACATATGGTTTCTAAGACAAGGTTATACCATTTCACTATTTAACGTGTTGAATAGGAAGTCGTTTTGGACCAGAATTTTTATAACAGTGTGAATGTTGTCGATGAGCAGTCAGTATGTGGTATCAACAAAACAATTTTTCTAAAGAAATAATTCCATGATGTAAAAATTATGTAATTATGTACTCCAATGATATTCCATTTGGTCTAGAAAAACTCCTTGCTTCCCCTTTAAATGTTGTTTGACCAGGGTGCATGGACGCTTATTGGGATATGTGAAACTTTTTTGTAGAGTGACACATTTATAATGATTCTATTTTAGCCATTAGTGGAGTTCCATGAAATGCTTGAGTAGGACTGAGCCGACATACGCCTTAAAGGCTTTTAACTATGTGCAATACATGGTTGCTTGCCTCATTTTTTTTTTTATTCTACAGCTCATCTTCCAGAAGTTCTCCTCTGGCAAATCAGAGAGTGACAGCTGCACACTATACAGTAAACACCCGCATATAAGAACCCAGAATTTTCGAGATCAGGCTGAACAGGTTTTTATATTTCAAGGTAATTTTTGACAAAGCAGGTTGATTAGGTTCTTAATAGGTTCTTAATTTTTCAAAGTTTGCCATAACATAGTCATTTGCAAAAACATTACCATACTAGTACACAATGGTTTAGAACTAGTTTAAATAACAAACATATGCATGCCAAGATAAATATATACACAATAACATATTAGAGGTGTCACACACAGTTAACAGCCAGAATTTTGATAATCGAAAGTGGAGTGATCTTTTGTATAAAGACCTCTTTTCCTCGCCAGGCTAATCAGGTTCTTATGAACATGAGTATTAAGCTGCCAAATTTCAGCCTGTAGGTTCTTAAATCTTTAGTTTCTTATATGCGGGTGTTTACTGTATTCCGACCACACCCTTATAAACATGGAGTCCTGACATACTGTTCATCATCCTTAAGTCAAGAGTGATTGCTGCTGCAATGTCAGTACTGGGGTTTACACGCAAACAAAGACAACCAACCAAGTTTCCACTTCCTAAAAACATTGCCAAGCAATCCAGAGCGCAACAATTAGAGTTTTTAAAAAAAGCTGCCTCATTAATTGTGGACAAATTTGTGTTCAATTATAATTCTGTCATAACTAGCAAACATTTTGAAATTAATTATGGACAAAAGCGTATGGTTGTGAATGGAAAATATTGGGTAGATGTGTAAAATTTCGTATTTTTACTTTACTTGAAACTGAAATATTATTGCACATGTAAGTTGTTTATTTATTTATCTATTAAACTGCATTTTAAAATGCGCCAACATCACTCTTCTTACCAAAGTTAACAACATAGAGGATATCGGGAAAGATCTTAGACCTAATTCCCTTACCCTTACTTTATTGAAAATCGCAGAACATTTTGTTGTTCCAGAGCTTGTGAAGCCAGCTGTTCTGAAACGGTTACACCCAGACCAGTTTGGATGTATTTCAGGTTCCTCTACTACACATGCCCTAGCATGTTCCACAAGTTCGCACTCTCCATGGAACTGGGGACTGTCTATGGACCTTTGTTCTAGATTACAGAAAAGCGTTTCACTTGATACATCATACATACAACATCATCATGGTCAGGATGTTCTCTTGCGTTTATGTGCCTCACACTAATTAAAACATGAATATACAATGATGCATTGTAAAATGACTTTCTCCATTTGCAAAAAGGTTTATGTTATCTGTGATGGAATCTGCAAACGTTAGTGAACCTTAGAACGACATTGCAGCTCTATCTAATCATGAGTTAATTGTAGTTAATATATTTAAAACATTTTAGTAATGATGCAACATCCTCAGATGCCGTTTGGGTCGTCTTGTCAATGATTCAAGAGCAAGATGTGACAGAAAATAACTGCGAGATGAAAAGAATCGTTCATGACAAAAAGGTCAACTTGTGTCTGTTTGCAGCTAAAGATATACCTGCAATTTATTAACACAGGGAAATTTTTAAACACCACCACATAACTCACATAATAATACATACCAAAAATACCACATAATAAATAACCATAATAGGAAATACCAAATTTACATTTTTACAAAATTCCCATTAATTGGATTTGTCTAAGCAAAAATTGTCATTAATGAAAATTAATTTCCAATAATGTAAATTGCTTTTTTGAATGTGCTTTTATGAAATCTCATGAATTGAAATCAACTCAATAATACCAGTAACGGGTATCTGAAATCCAGTAATGGTTCTCTGTTAGAGACCATGAACGGAAATAATTTCTTATCCATTTATGTAAATATGTAGAGCATAGTCCATCATGTAAAATGTGTACACCACATGAATGGAAAAGCTGAACAGAGAACAAAACAAGACTTTTTTTCTCCACATCAATATTTAAACCTTTTCTTTGGTGAAGTTTTCATTTTAATAATCAAAGACTGGTTGAAAATGTAAGTGCTATCCTCTCCTTTTGATAAATGAGGTTCTGTTTAAATTCTTTTACCCTTTATAGAAAGACAATAATTGTTCATTCTCGTCGCTATTCCTGTTTTCACTAATAATGAACTTCAAACTAAGGAAAGGATACCCAAGATACTAAACACTTCTCTGATCCCAATAAATGGTTATGTCACGTTGTTAGTTTCGTTCCCACAAGGAAAGTAATTTATTTCGAATATTTCGCCGGTTCTTTAACTTTGAAACGTGATAGGTTAGAAGACATTGACTAACAAATTCATTCAGAGTCTGTCATTGGATAATCCAATAAGAATCCCGGATGAGAGGACGTGTTTTATCAGTCATTCCAATGGTGTTGGCGCAGTGACGTGTGGTGTCTCGGATCGTGAAAGGAGCTCTGCAGCTATTTCAACCCCCCCTCCCCTCCCCCGTAAAAACAGCTAAATTGATAAGGGCAATGTCGGATCCATTCCTAACCAGTGTACGACTGCAAGCGAAAATAACGGCAGAGAAGTAACCTAGTAGGTAAAACTAATTCATGTCTATTGTTTGAGGTCTTGTAGGTCTTGCAGACTGTTTGAGTTGCGGTCTTGCTCTTGGTGAACAGATCAGCTGTAAGGTCGATACGTTTGGCTTTGTGTGAATCATTTTTTTAGGTAACATCCTTGGCTACCTTCTTTTATT